GTTTATACTTTTGAATGATGTTGTTACTTTTTTTGTTTTAATTGTTTTAATTATGTTGTTTATTTTTATATGTTTTCATTACTGTTCTAATTTGTGAATTCTCATTGATGCTGGGCTTAGATGTAAGCTGCCCCGAGTCCCTCCAGGGAGGTGGTGGCGGGACATAAGAATAAAATTATTATTTGAAACACAACAAGATTAGTACTTCAACTACCATTTGTTTCACTTGCAAAACCCCTCTGCCTCCTGATTTTCTGGGCAGGTAAAGTCTGTCGACACCACTATACGGGTGCAATGAGTACTGGACTGTCATCGGTTTTCTTGTTTTTCTGTCCAGATCATCCAGCTCTGCTTGTGTCCAGTTCACAATTACTACTACTATTATTATTTGAAACACAACAAGATGAGTCCATAGCAAACAAGATCACTCTGCTGGCTGTTGTATTGGATCACACGTCGGACACTTCCCAAGTGTCTAGGACTGTGTGATGTATCGGTGAATAATGTGTGCAGATCCCAGTAAGGTGGCCTTCTGCAGCGGGCAGATGGTAATTTTGTCAGTGCCAATTGTGAATAAGTACAGGCCAAGGTCTTTAGGCACTGCACCCAGTGTGCCGATCACCACTGGGACCACCTTTACTGGCTTGTGCCAGAGTCTTTGCAGTTCAATCTTTAAATCCTCATATCGTGTCAGCTTTTCCAGTTATTTCTCTTCAATCCTGCTGTCTCTTGGGAATGCAACATCAATGATCCATATTTCATTTTTTAACACGATCGTGAGGTCAGGAGTATTGAGCTCCAAAACTCTGTCTGTCTGAATTAGGAAGTCTCAGAGTAGCTTGACATGTTCAATCTCTGTAACATTTCAGGTTTGTGATCTCACCAGTTATTATTGAGTTGGGTGTCATATTTCTATTCTACTACCTCAAAATCTTGGCACCATATCCACACATGTCTGCATTTGCTTGGGATCCTGTCTGATTGTTTGTTTTTTTTCTTTTTGCATACTACTCATACTATAAATCCTGGCACAGCCTGCACAGAAGACAGGATTGTGACAGTAAGATATAAGAGTGACTGGAGCCAAGGTCAAGGATTTGGAATTAGTGGACTGGGTTAGGGTGAAATCAGGTGGCTGCGGAGGTGCATGTAAGGTGAAGAAAAATAAGTTGCTGAGAAAGGGGAGAAGAAAGCAATATTTCATTAGTAATTATAGCTATTTGAATAAATTTTTTGCTGCAGTCCTATTCATGTTTGGCTGGAAGAATATTGAACAAAACTGGGACTTACTTCCAAGGACCATAAACATGGTATACTTAAATGCAATCCAGTAATGCTTTTTTGTTTTTGTTTTTTAATTTCAGTGTATGGAAAATTACTCATTAGCTTTTGTAGACAGTCAACAGGAATAAGCTTCAGACCAGAACAGGGAGATGCATATGCAACTGATATTAAGTCTTCAGTGTTGCAATTGGCCAGTTGCAACATTCACACTTGTCTCAAGCAGACAAGAGTTCTTTCTCCCACCTTGGACATTCCACAGATATATAAACTCCAATTGCCTAGTTTCCAACAGACCTCACAACCTCTGAGAATGCCTGCCGTAGATGCAGGCGAAACGTCAGGAAAGAATGCTTCTAAGTCTTGTTTTGTTTCTGTTAATTTTTAGATTGGTGTAAGTCTCTGTTGTTTTGTAGGGTTATTCATTAGTCAAGCTAATATTAAAATCACTTCAAAGGTGTGTGCCTGCCATGCTATACTATCACAATGGCATGTATATTGTAGTTGCAATATCATACCATGATTATGTCATGCTGGAAGGATATGTGTTTGCCACTCCAGATAAATATTTCACTGTCATTATAGGTCATGGGGCCCCAAGTACAATGCTTGATGATCCCCAAAGTCTCCAGATGCCCTAAAACATTTGGGTCATTTTGACTCCTCTAAAAATGGCTCCAGACCACTATAAAATCCAGTTATTTGGCTTCTTCGGTCACCCCAGCCCTCCATATATCTTACAAACCTGTTTGTACCTATTTCTTTGCTTTAGAGTGTTGTGGCAAGTCTGTAAGGTATGCAAAGTGGTTGCAGGAATAAAAATAGTGCCTTTTGTGCTATTTTGGCAATGGTGAAAAATCACCCAGGACAAAAAAATAATAATGTGGGGAGGGGTATAGGGATTTTGGCATGAGAGTTCATCCTAGTGCAGGAAAAGCCTAGCAAGACAACACCAAAACAGATTGAGTCATATCTTAAACCAAGGTTGCAGAATCTGTTTTGACTCAATCATCCCACTGTCTCCATAGAAGTGTTTAGGAGTTCATGTGTCAATGGTGAGAAAGGCCTAACACTATATGGACACTGCTTGTACCAGTGTTTCTCAGGGCCCTTCCACACAGCCCTATATCCCAGAATATCAAGGCAGGAAATCCCACATTATTTGAGTGTGGACTCAGATAACCCAGTTCAAAGCAAATATTTTTGTGGGGTTTTGGGATTTTCTGCCTTGCTATTCTGGGAAATAAGGCTGTGTAGAAGGGCTCTCGGAGCACGGTTTGAGGGCCCTTCCACACAGCCTTATTTCCCAGAATAGCAAGGCAGAAACTCCTCCAATTTTTGCTCTGAACTGGGTTATCTGAGTCCACACTCAGATAATGTGGGATTTCCAGGTGTTTTCAACTTCAGCTTCCAAAAATCCCAGCCAGCTTACCAGTTGTTAGGAGTTGTGGGAGCCCAACAATAATAATAATGACAAGTCCAATAATAATAATAATAATAATAATAATAATAATGACAATGACTAATGACAATGAAATATTTCTCTGGAGTGGAAACACATATTCTTCCAGCATGACATAATCATGGCATGATATTGCAACTATAATATGCATGCCATGATGATGATATTATTAATAATAAACTATTTCACACTTTGAGAAACATTCAATACCCCAAACCTATTTGTCTCCTATTTTGCTTTTAAATGTTTCGTCTCATTATTTCATTCACTTCATTCTCTATTTCAGCACTATCCCAGGGCCCTTCCATACAGCCCTATATCCCAGAATATAAAGGCAGAATATCCCACAATATCTGCTTTGAACTGGGTTATCTGAGTCCACACTCAGATAGCATGGGATTTTCTGCCTTGATCTTCTGGGATACAGGGCTGTGTGGAAGGGCCCCCAATCACCACATTTTCTCTCCACTACCCATTCCCTATTCCCCCTCTCTTTATTTTCTATGATATTCCATTTTCTCTGCTCCCACTGTTCTTATGGCCCCATTCTTTCATGCTCACACTGTCCCACTCACCCCATACACTTTCTTCCCACTGTCATAATCACAGTTCCCCATTGTTTCTTCAACAGCCCTCTCGTTGGCATTCCCTAGTTCTTCTGCTTGCTCCTTTGCTTGATGCTGGCCGTTCTAATCTCCACTTATGACTTTATTAATCTTCAGCTGTTAGCTCTCTGAAGTTTTGAAGTGCCGAGTTAAGTGGTAGTTAGTCTTGCTATTCCAAAGCACTCTGGAAGTGACCGGAAAAACAAAGGTCATGAGGAAGTTGGAACACATGGCTATGGTTCATAATAAGGAAGGAGATGAAAGCAAAAAGGAGCATACCTGCACCATATGATGAAAGTTTTTCCACACTCTATTTAAGCTGAGGTCAAATTAGTTAAAACCATGAGCAATCCCCGGTAGAAGTCTCTTCTTCTGCAGCTATGGAGAGATATAGTCTCAGCACAAAATAGATGCTTAGTTCATTTGGTGTACCCTTTATTATATTGACCCAGCTGCCATGGAAAAGCAAACAGTGGTTTTCAGAGGGTCCTCACCAGATTTATTTTCTGAAAAGTAGGCTAAATTGGGATGCTGTTGATAACTTTGAAATGTGAGGATGGTGGCAGAATACATCTTCCAGTTAGGAAACCATGGAAGAAAATACTGGAGCGTGTCTCCTGAGTGGATCACATGGTACTTCATCCATCTCTGAATCTTCCACAGTACCGTCTTGTGTTTAGGGTACTATTTTGGCAAAATAATGATCCAAATGCAGAGAATGACGTTTATAGCAAAAGTTTTTGTAGACTCGGGTTCATGTAATTTTTTTTCGTGTCAGGAGCGACTTGAGAAATGGCAAGTCGCTTCTGGTGTGAGAGATTGGCCGTCTGCAAGGACGTTGCCCAAGGGACGCCCAGATATTTGATGTTTTTACCATCCTTGCGGGAGGCTTCCTCATGTCCCTGCACGGGGAGCTGGAGCTGACAGAGGGAGCTCAACCCGCTCTCCCCGGATTCGAACCGATGACCTGTCGGTCAGCAGTCCTGCAGGCACAAGGGTTTAACCCATTGCACCACCGAGGGCTACTGGCTCATATTATGAAGTAGACTGAGTCTATGAAAGTTTATGCTACAATCTACTTTTCCCTAGTTAGTCTCAAAAGTGCTCTTCAAGATTTTCTTTACATGTTGACACAGACTAATGCAGCTATATCTTTGAGTGCAGAGAATGAATTCATTGTTAGGGTGATAGTACTCCCATCTGTTTCCCCCTTCTAAGTAATCTTATCTCTTTTTAAAATTACGGACAAATGTATTATTAGCACTACTACTTATTAGGCTTCCTGTATACAACACATTGCTATCTCCAGGATTGACCCCAAGGAACTTTTGTGAGGTGGGATCCATGTGGCACCAAAACATCCAAAGATGGACACAATACATATAAATTCCTCACTGATAGGTATGAGGATTGCATAAGAGCATATTTGTACCTTTGTTATGATGCTGTTTATTTCAGCTGGCTTGTGCACAATTTTTTGAGTCAGTTTTATTGCCCTCAGTGGCATCTCAGTTGCAGTTATTGCTCTCACACAAGCCAGAAATCGATTGATATGTTTATTATATCGGGTTTTAAAAATGTTTGAATTAACATCCTTTCCTAAAGCCTTGAGGTCCTTCTGGTGTTAAATCCTTGCCTTCTTTTCTCTCTAGAAACCTTTGCTGGTGACTGGCAGTGAGAGCTTCTGCCGCTTTCTACAGGACCATTGCCCTGTGTTGACAGAAACATATTATCCCACTGTGTGGTGCTGGGAGGGCCGCATGCAAACTCTCCTTCGGCCGTTTATTACATCTCGGCCCCATGTGCAATATCGGAAGTAAGTGCCTCTCCTTTCACTCTAGCCTTGAAAATGTCAATTCTGGATTGAGAAGGCATGTGCTTTAAATACTGGGTCTGCACTGTGACTTTTCTGATGTGACTTTATACTGTTGCTATAGTGACATACCAGGGAAGGGAATCATGCAGCCAATTAGATGTTGTTCAATTGTATGTCCTCACAGCCCCAGTCAGCATAGTCAGTGGTGAGAAATGTAGTCCAACAACATCTGGAGTACTGGACAATTCCTGCTTCTTGATTTTTTTGTGCCAGAAGCGACTTGCAAATATGCTGTAGGTCATTTCTGGTGTGAGAGAACTGGCCGTCTTCAAGGACGTTGCCCAGGGGACGCCCAGATGTGTTACTATCCTGTGGGAGGCTTCTCTCATGTCCCTGCATGGGAAGCTGGAGCTGACAGATGGGAGCTCACCCCATCTCACACATTCAAATCACCTACATTCAGGTCAGCAGTTCAGCCGTCACAAGGGTTTAACCGATTGCACCACCGCGGCTCCTGCTTCCTGATACATGATGACTATGGATGAAAGGAGGGACACATTCTGGAACTTGGAAGAAAAATAGCATATTTCACCACATAATCGTGCCAATAAAATATAAAAAGTCTGGCCATTACACAGTGAAATATGGTAAATGTCTACAGCTGCACTCAAAAGTTACCCTCCACACATTCCCAAAATGTATACGATGGTGAATGCAGACACATTGCTAGCCTAGAAGTTGGAAAACATGTTTTGGCGGCATCGTGGCTATGCTGCCTCAAGGAATCTGTCCATTGTAGGGCAAAGAAGTAACTTTCCCAAGCATGTGCCCTCCTTCACACATACACATCCATCTCCTCCCACTTTGTTCTGCAGCTGAAACTTATTCCCAGCTAAACTCAGAACTTTTTTCAGATAACAAACAGGGTGCCAAAGAGATCTCTCCCAGACCCAATACTATTGTAACTCTGAGGTTGGAGAGATGTGCCAAAACTAAGAAAATGAAGTTCAACAGGGACACATGCAAGATATTCCACTTAGGCAGAAAATATGAAATCAAAGATACAGAACAGGGGACGCCTGGCTCGACAGCGGTATATGTGAAAAAGATCTTTGTGTCCTCATGGACAATAAGTTAAACATGAGCCAACAATGTGATGTGGCGGTAAAAAAAAGCCAATGGGATTTTGGCCTGCATAAATAGAAGTATAGTGTCTAGATCCAGGGAAGTCATGCTACTCTACTCTGCCTGGATCAGACCACACCTGGAATACTGTGTCCAGTTCTGAATCCTGCAATTGAAGGGAGATGTTGACAAGCTGGAATGTGTCCAGAGGAGACTAAAATGATGAAGGGTCTGGAGAACAAGCCCTATGAGGAGCGGCTTAAGGAGCTGGGCATGTTTAGCCTGAAGAAGAGAAGGCTGAGAGGAGACATGATAGCCATGTATAAATATGTGAGAGGAAGTCACAGGGAGGGGGGAACAAGCTTGTTTTCTGCTGCCCTGGAGACTAGGACACAATGGAACAATGGCTTCAAACTACAAGAAAGGAGATTCCACCTGAACATTAGAAAGAACTTCCTGACTGTGAGAGCTGTTCAGCAGTGGAACTCTCTGCCCCAGAGTGTGGTGGAGGCTCCTTCTTTGGAGCTTTTAAGCAGAGGCTGGATGGCCATCTGTCGGGGGTGCTTTGAATGCAATTTTCCTGCTTCTTGGCAGGGGGTTGGATTGGATGGCCGACGAGGTCCCTTCCAACTCTGTGATTCTATGAGAGCTGCAACTAAGTTTAGAAGTAATAAATTGGAAGTGAAAGACTATACATACTGTCCTGATGCTTTGGCACAATGTGCCCTAGGTCCATTACAATGATGTCCAACCAGCCTGGGGTGCGAAGGGAGAAGGTAGACTGTCAAATCTTCTGGGCTTAATTACAAGACTGTTTTCTTCAGTGACCTCTCCTTCCTACATTGTATCTATACATGAGCTATCCCATGGAGAGGGAGGGGGGTTATAGCTGATTGATGTTTTTATTTTTATTTTTGCAAAGCTAATCGAGTGTTGGTTTTCCAGTGAGCTTATCACTGCAGCAGATGGAGGACAGATTTCGCTGGATTGGTTTGATAATCATGATAGCATACCTTACTCAGAGTCCAACAGCAGACCCACTATCCTGATACTGCCTGGCCTCACAGGAACAAGCAAGGAATCTTACATCCTCCATATGGTGCAGCAGAGCAAAACCTTGGGATACAGGTATATGTCAGTTTGACTTGGTAATGTTTCTATTTGGACTGCTTAGACTAAATTTGTACAAGCAAGAAGTTCAACTATGGTAATTTGTAGTGGATGACAGGAGAGGCAGAGCTAGAAAAGACTCCCTGCCCCTATTTTTGCCATCTGGTTCATCTATCAAACCCATAGATCTCTGCCAAAGGCTCCTTTGGGAGCTGATTCCATGGAAAATATCCAACGGTCATCACTAACGTAATTGTAAACCCTGAGTTTAGACTATTTGCCCTTTTTTGTCACAGCTTCCAGAATCCCATAGCCAGCATAACAGCTTTATTATTTTGTATTGATTGATGGATTGTATTTCTGGATTGCCTCACATCCCACAAAGGCTTCCAAGTTGATGAACAAATAGAAAATAATTTAAACAATATCTTTAAAATATGTTAAATACTTTTTTAAAACTCCCCAAAGCAATTTAAAAGCACTCCTAGAATCCAGTCTAAACCACTTACAGAATACCATGGCTCAATGCTATAAAATCCTGGGTGTTGTTGTTTGGTGAGGTGCCAACACTATTTGCAAAAGTCCATCACACTGAGCCACGGCAATTGAAGTGGTGTCAAACTGCATTAAGTATACAGTGTAGATGCACTCGCAGTCATGTTAAGGCATTAAGTTAGTTGGCTATAAAGTGGATCAGATTCAATGATTTGCAGTGAGCATTTTGTGTAGCTGGGAAATGGCAATTTTGAACAGGAAATACATAACCATATGTTTCATGTGTATCTGTCACTGTTTTGAATAATAGGCAGTTATTGAATTAAAAACTGGAGCAGCTTTAAATCTTCATATCCAAAGACACTCTGGTTAACAGTTCTGGTAAACGGTTCTTTTTTGTTTTTTAAAAGGTGTGTGATCTTAAACTATCGCGGAGTTGCTGGTGAAAATCTCTTGGTAAGGTTTGCTGTTAAATTAGACAAAACATAGAGCACTATGACCAAATCATGCAACAAGAGTCTTATTGCTAACCCTTGGAAACATGGGATACTTCCACAAGCCAGCTGTGGCAATCCATCCGTTACTGGAAAACCATCAGTTCTCAGATATATCAGAAATCCTATTGTTAACAACTCAAACTTCTTCTAAAAATAAGCATATTGCAACAAGAAACAGGAGGAAGTGTTTGTGTTCTCAGACAGGATTCAGTAAGAAATTGCATGCATTATTAAGATCTTGCTGTCTTGCTACATACAATCTGCCAACATCCATTCCTTGCAGAGCTTTGGAAAGTTTTTCAGATGACAATTCTTTTATAATACAGTACTTATAATTAAATAATACTTTTTCTTGCCGAAAGTAGTAAGAGAAAATTGGTTTTCAACAAACATTGGGAGATGAATGTACAAAGGGGTGTTGTGACACGCCAGATCCTTTTTGTTATATATTAAAAGGAGTGAAAAGATCTTTTGTTTGGTTCAGTTTGGGGCCAATTCCATGTAATCAGCTTTATGTGTTTTAGCCCTGCTCTATTTTACAGTTGTATGCTCTTTAGTAGAGGACTTCGAACATAATGATATGCAATCCATTCCAAATGATTTTGAAACAGAAATGGAAAAGTATGTCAGCAAGGAACAGCCTCTTGTGAATTGAAATAACTTTCTGCCTTTAAGGAAACTTAAAATAATAGCACTTTTAAATGCTATTCTGCAAATGTGCTAAAGGCATGGCTGTGTGCACATTTATATAGAAGTCCCACTGTACTATTTATTTATTTATCATATCAGAAGCAAGTTGAGGGTACAGTTTAAAAACTTGGCATTATGCTAAATATCCTTTGACCAGTAGCTGGCCACTTGGAGTGCCTCTAATGCCACTGTGAGAAGGTCCTGCATTGTGCATGTGGCAGGGCTCAGGATGCATTGCAATCAATGCATCTAACGATTTTTAACCCAATCTAACCTCGAGTCTCTTTGTACTGAAACATCAAGGTTTTCCCTTTCACCCAGTTGTCAGATTGTGTACCTAAACCATCTTTAATTGATGTCAGACACATAACCATGTTCATATACAGTAGAGTCTCACTTATCCAACCTTTACTCATCCAACGTTCTGTATTATCCAACACAGTCTGTCTCCCACCCAGATCCACAGTTTCAATACATTGTAATGTTTTGGTGCTAAATTCATAATAGAGTAATTACTACATAATGTTACTGTGTATTGAACTGCTTTTTCGGTTGATTTGTTGTAAAACACGATGTTTTGGTGCTTAATTTGTAAAATAACATAATTTGACGTTTAATAGGCTTTTCCTTAATCCCCCCTTATTATTCAATAGTTTCACTTATCCAACATTCTGCTGGCCTGTTTATGTTGGATAAGTGAGGCTCTACTGTATATGTGTGTGTGTGTGTGTGTGTGTATATATATATATATATATGAATCTTGTAATCTGTATAAATGAATAGACCCACCAAACTAGGAGACTTCTCCCCTGAAAGATTGTAGGCTTATTCTGCAACCCCTCTTAAAGCATTGCCCACATTTGTTGTTGTTCATTCGTTCAGTCGTCTCCGACTCTTCGTGACCTCATGGACCAGCCTACGCCAGAGCTCCCTGTCGGCCGTTACCACCCCCAGCTCCTTCAAGGTCAGTCCAGTCACTTCAAGGATGCCATCCATCCATCTTGCCCTTGGTCGGCCCCTCTTCCTTTTGCCTTCCACTTTCTCCCCAGCATAATTGTCTTCTCTAGGCTTTCCTGTCTCCTCATGATGTGGCCAAAGTACTTCAACTTTGTCTCTAGTATCTTTCCCTCCAGTGAGCAGTCGGGCTTTATTTCCTGGAGGATGGACTGGTTGGATCTTCTCGCAGTCCAAGGCACTCTCAGAACTTTCCTCCAACACCACAGCTCAAAAGCATCGATCTTCCTTCGCTCAGCCTTCCCTAAGGTCCAGCTCTCACATCCGTAGTTACTACAGGGAATACCATGGCTTTGACTAGGCGGATCTTTGTTGCCAGTCTGATGTCTCTACTCTTCACTATTTTATCGAGACTGGACATTGCTCTCCTCCCAAGAAGTAAGCGTCTTCTGATTTCCTGGCTACAGTCTGAATCTGCAGTAATCTTTGCACCTAGAAATACAAAGTCTGTCACGGCCTCCACGGTTTCTCCCTCTATTTTCCAGTTGTCAATCATTCTTGTTGCCATAATCTTGGTTTTTTTGACGTTTAGCTGCAACCCGCTTTTGCGCTTTCTTCTTTCACCTTGATTAGAAGGCTCCTCAGCTCCTCCTCGCTTTCGGCCATCAGAGTGGTGTCATCTGCATATCTGAGGTTGTTAATGTTTCTTCCAGCAATTTTCACCCCAGCTTTGCATTCATCCAGCCCCGCACATCGCATGATGTGTTCTGCATACAAGTTAAAAATGTTGGGTGAGAGTATGCAGCCTTGCCGTACGCCTTTCCCAATCTTGAACCAGTCTGTTGTTCCGTGGTCAGTTCTGACTGTTGCTACTTGGTCCTTGTACAGATTCCTCAGGAGAGAGACAAGGTGGCTTGGGATGCCCATCCCACCAATAACTTGCCACAATTTATTATGATCCACACAGTCAAAGGCTTTAGAATAGTCAATGAAGCAGAAGTAGATGTTTTTCTGAAACTCCCTGCCTTTCTCCATTATCCAGCGGATATTGGCAATTTGGTCTCTCGTTCCTCTGCCTTTTCTAAACCCAGCTTGAACATCTGGCAACTCTCGCTCCATGTATTGCTGGAGTCTTCCTTGCAGGATCTTGAGCATTACCTTACTGGCATGAGAAATAAGGGCCACTGTACGGAAGTTTGAGCTGTCTTTCGCATTTCCCTTTTTTGGTATGGGGATATAAGTTGATTTTTTTCCAGTCTGATGGCCATTCTTGTGTTTTCCATATTTGCTGGCATATGGCATGCATCACCTTGACAACATCATCTTTTAAGATTTTAAACAGTTCCGCTGGGATCCCGTCGTCTCCTGCTGCCTTGTTGTTAGCAATGCTTCTTAAGGCTCATTCCACCTCACTCCTCAGGATGTCTGGTTCTAATTCATTCACCACACCGTCAAAACTATCCTCAATATTATTATCCTTCCTATACAGATCTTCTGTATAGTCTCGCCACCTTCTCTTGATCTCTTCAGCTTCTGTTAGGTCCCTGCCATCTTTGTTTCTTATCATACCAATTTTTGCCTGAAATTTACCTCCAATGTTTCTAATTTTCTTTAAGAGGTCTCTTGTCCTTCCTATTCTGTTGTCTTCCTCCACTTCCATGCATTGCTTATTTAAAAATAGTTCCTTATCTCTTCTGGCTAACCTCTGGAGTTGCGCATTTAACTGGGCATATCTCCCCTTTTCACTGTTTCCTTTTGCTTTCCTCCTTTCTTGGGCTACTTCCAGTGTCTCAGCAGACAACCATTTTGCCTTCTTGGTTTTCTTTTTCTTTGGAACGTACTTTGTTGCCGCCTCCTGAACAATGCGGAGTTCTGTCCATAGTTCTTCTGGGACTCTGTTTACTAAATCTAGTCCTTCAAATCTGTTCTTCACTTCCACTGTATATTCGCTAGGAATGTTAGTGAGATCATATCTAACTGGTCTGTGTATTTTCCCTGATCTCTTTAGTTTTATTCTAGATTGGGCAATAAGAAGTTCGTGATCTGAGCTACAGTCAGCCCCAGGTCTTGTTTTCACCGACTGGATGGATGTCCGCCACCTTTGGCTGCAAAGGATGTAGTCAATCTGATTTCGGTGTTGACCATCTGGTGTAGGTCCATGTATAAAGCCGTCTTTTAGGTTGTTGGAAGAGAGTATTCGTTATACACAGCGAGTTTTCCTGGCAAAATTCTATCAGCCTGCGTCCCGCTTCATTTTGTTCTCCCAGACCATGCTTGCCTGTGATCCCAGTTGTCGTTTGACTTCCCACCTTGGCATTCCAGTCTCCTGTAATGAAAATAATGTCTCTTTTTGGTGTATTATCCAGTAGGTCCTGCAGATCCTCATAGAACTGATCTACTTCTGCTTCTTCAGCAGCTGTGGTTGGGGCATATATTTGGATCACTGTAATGTTGAAAGGCTTTCCTTGCACTCGAATTGAGATCATTCTGTCATTTTTTGGGTTGTATCCAAGCACCGCTTTAGCGAATTTCTTATTAATTATGAAGGCTACTCCATTTCTTCAATGTTCCTCTTGTCCGCAGTAGTAGATCTGGTGGTCATCTGATGTGAAGTGGCCCATTCCAGTCCATTTCAGTTCGCTGACCCCCAGAATGTCTATCTTTAGTCTTGACATCTCACCAATAACAACATCCAATTTGCCCTGGCTCATAGATCTTACATCCAGGTTCCTATGGTGTGTTGATCTTTAGAGCATCGGATTCGTCGTTCACCTCCAGTACCGTCGGCCGCTAGCCTTCCTTTCGGCTTTGAGCTAGCTGCGTCATCACATCTGGGGCTAGTTGAACTTATCCTCTGCTCCTCCCCAGTAGTATTTTGGCCATCTTCCGACCTGGGAGTCCCATCTTCCAATGGCATACCGACATATCTCTGGTTGTACTGGTCCATTTAGTTTTCTTGGCAAGGATACTGGAGTGGTTTGCCATTGCCTTCCCCAGGGATCACGCTTGGTCTGACCTCTCTGCCACAACCGTCCCGTCTTGGGTGGCCCTTCACGGTTTCGCTCATGACATAATTGAGGTGCTCAAGCTCCAGCGCCCCGACAAGGCGGTGATCCTTTGCTGGAGTGCCCACATTTAGAGCTTGGAAAAGTATTGGAGTTTCACTCCAGAAAGCATCTTTTCCAAGCTCTAAATGCCCACATTTAGAGCTTGGAAAAGATGCTTTCTGGAGTGAAACTCCAATACTTTGCCAGCCAACATGACTAGTGGCTGTCTGAGAGGATGGCTTGATAGTTCAGAGTTTACCAGGATCTGTCAATTGTTTATTGGTATATCTTTTCTATTTTAAGGACTAGAAATTATTCTTTTGGATTTACATTTTGAGGAAGGTGAATTTGGTGTAAATATTAATGTATCAAACATTGTGTCTATTCTATATCTTTATGGAATTAAAGATTTAAAATTGCAGTGAATATAGAAGTCTGAGGAAAATGTAATATTAAAGAAAACTCTAACACATTACTTGTCTTACTAGCCCAGTATTTTCTAATTTTAGTGTTCATCTGCCATTGTTGGCTATTCACCTTATAAGAGAGGTCTGTGACTGAACATTGCACTTTTTTGTATGCAAACTCTACTATGTCATTGAACTATTTTCCTTATTTAGAGTTAATGATTAAAGATGACAGATAACCTGCTATTTCATCATTTCTAGCCTTATGTGGCACAGGAAGTAAATAACACAGCATGGCTCTCTAATTCACCTAAGCCTTCTTTTTAGGATGCTTATTAAAATTTTGTTAAGGAGTTGAGCAGATGGGTTTTACCTTTTTGCCCTCCATCAACTGATACCCCAACATTCCTTAAATTCTAGAGACGTGGAGGTTCTTTTCATGTTATTTTGGTTTGTTTTGTTTCATATTCTAGGGAAGTTCTGTCTCTCTCTTCCTCCCACACACAATCTTATTTCTGTTTTTCATTGCATCAGTGCTATGCTTTGAAATTTGCTGACAGACCACCCTTTCTAGAGAAAACTTTTTAGGGCAAATATGTGTTCAGTACCTCCAAGCTTGGGATGCCCTTCATGTGACTGGATATGTGAAGGGAACTTTTGACCTTCTGGATTTGGGTGGAAGGTGTGACTCTTATCAGACCAAATCCTCACAATCACTATGAGCTATCAGGGCTGTCTCAATCTAACAACCTCTGGAGGGCTTCATCCTGCATTCCTGCAGCTTAGTATCTTCAAGGGTAAGAAATGTTAGTGTTAGGCTCAAGCTAGTATAAGATTTACTGAGTTAATGTATGTGCAAATATTTGGGCATTTAGGAGGTTACTTCATGCTCCCCTTTCCTGCAACTCTGCCCTGAAATATGCAGCTTTGCAAACAGGAGGTAGGATGCTCCATCGAGGCCATGTCTGACTAGTGTTGCCATTCGTTAGCACACTGTTACAGCACTTTCCGTCAACTTTGGACTTCAGTATGTTATTAAAAAAACTTTTGTCCCTAGCTATATGCATTTATTCATAATTATGCTCCTAAGCCTAATTATAAATACACCTTTTATGGAGGGCGCTGACTTCGATAAACAGGCAGTGTTACAAACACCGAACTTATAAACAACTCATAGTTAAGATTGGGGGTTAAACAATAGGGAATGAAATCTACACATAAGAAGGGAAATTTACTCCTGGAAGAGTTATAATGGGGGAAAGGTTTATCCATTGAAGCTTTATCACCAATTCTTGTTTCCATGATAAGTTGCATCTTTTCAAAATCCAATTCTGTCAGTGACCAAAAGTGAGGTGAAATCTTCTGAACAGGGGCACAGACAGCAACATAAACACCATAGGGATGTTAACCATATGCTATCCTTTATGTGTGTGTGTGTGTGTGTGCGTATGTATGTATGTATGTATGTATATATATATATATATATATTGACTGGAGTTAAAATATACCTGTTCCAACTCACAAATTCAGCTTAAGGACAAACCTACAGAACCTCTCTTGTACTTAATTTGGGACTGCCTGTATTGTGAAATACTGCATTAAATTACAAGCAAGAGCTATTTTGTGGGTAATGGATGAGATGTAAAATGTTAGTAATGTAAGTGCATACCCATGCTGTACATGGATAACACATTGTCGTGGTGACCAACATAGTTTGAATCCAAACTATAGTTATCTGGCACCTGTTAATGCTAGAGGAAGCAGAGAAGGCAGTTTTGCTGGTACATCCCATTGGGTGGGAGGTGGGGATGGTGAAAATTATTCTCCTCTTCAGTTGAGAATTTCTACTTGATCTCAGCCCATTCTGTGACTGGAAGAAGTCCAACATCACGTCTTCTAAAATGTCCTTTATGCTAGACTTGCTGTGGTTCTCAACCTGTGGGTCCTCAGGCTTTTTGGCATACAACTCCCCGAAATCCCAGCCAGTTTACCAGCTGTTATAATTCCTGGGAGTTGAAGGCCAAAACATCTGGGGACCCACAGGTTGAGAACCACTGGGCTAGAGTTAATCTTGCTGAACTTCAGTGCTGTATAAACCATCCTGCTGCTGCTTTGTGTTGGTCTTGGTTTAAAGATATCAAGCAAATTATGATTATTCTCTTTCTCATTTTTGACTTGTTTTAGACACCGAGGACTTACTGTGCTTCTAATACAGAAGATTTAGAAACTGTTATTCATTACATACACAAGTTGTACTCCTCAGCTGCATTGGTGGCATCGGGTGTTTCCATGGGAGGGTAAGCATTTGTGCAACAGAAGTCACAGGAGGATCACTCTTTGGTCATTAGAAGGCAAGTTGCAAAGGGCAGTGGTAAGGAGTTTTCTTACATAATACAGATTCAGTGGAAAATGGACTCGGTCTCATTTTTCACTGATTCTGCTTTTCACCAAAGGAATATGAGCTGACAGAGGATGTAATTTTTGAAATACGCTTTGCTTTGCTCTTTTACATGCTCAGCTTGTAAAGCAGGTTTGAACTAGAAACTGGGAGCATTATTAATGAGAATCTCCAATCGCTGTTATAAAATTATAGGTAATGCTAACCACTATAAAGTAATTGCATTCATTCATCAACTGTATTTATACCCCCTCATCCCACCTATAACAAAGGACTTCGATTAGTGGTTTTAGGTTTGAAAGTTTAAACAGAATTTAACTATAAAAATTGAATGATGCACCATATTCTGGACAATCAGATTAGCCAGTCTCCTGCGATCAGGTAACGTATCATGTTCTAGGGTCCTGAAGTAGTTATGAGCTTATGAACAAAGCTCATGTTGCCTGGACTTCCCGCTCATGTGGGTATGCAGTCATTATCATAGCTCCATGCCATGCTTGAAAACATGCAGGTGCGTCCACACCGGTGGAAGTCCTCTTCTTTTTTCCCTTCCCACCCTCTAATTTCCCTCAATACATTAAATTATTATGTGTTTTGATTATGTGTAACCTGCCTTAAGCTGTGAGGAGAGGCAAGTAAAAATAAAATTAAGTAAAGGTAAAGGTTTCCCCTAGTCATGTCTGACTCAGGGGGGGTAGTGCTCATCTCCATTTCTAAGCCGAAGAGCCAGCATTGTCTGTAGACACCTCCAAGGTCATGTGACTAGCATGACTGCATGGAGAGCTGTTACCTTCCCGAAGCAGAATGTATTGAACTACTCACATTTGCATGTTTTCAAACTGCTTGGTTGGCAGTAGCTGGGGCTAACAGCAGATTCCAACTGCAAGTTTTAACCTGCTGTGATGCCCGGGGCTCCTCAGAAACAAAATTATTATTATTATTTGATACACAACAAGATTAGTACACAGCAAACAAGATCACTATGCTGGCTTTTGTATTGAATCACACGTCGGATACTTCCCAAGTGTCTAGGACTGTGTGATGTATTGGCGAATAATGCGTGCAGATCCCAGTAAGGTGGCCTTTTGCAGCTGGCAGATGGTAATTTTGTCAGCGCCAGTTGTTTTTAAGTGCAGGCACTGCACCCAGTGTTCCGATCACTACTGGGACCACCTTTACTGGCTTGTGCCAGAGTCTTTACAGTTCAATATCAAAATCCTTGTTGTTGTTGTTGTTGTTGTTGTTGTTGTTGTTGTTGTTGTTAGTGAGAGTTTCTGTAGCAGATTCAGGGGCTGCAGGGTGGAGAGGGAACCTGTTTAGCTACTGTGTTCCTTCCACTGGCACTAGGACAACTCTGGATACATCCATGTGAGATGTTTAGCTTATTACCTTGGGTACTATAGTCAACCAGATGTAACTTTCTTGTTTTCTTCAACTTTTTGTTACTATTAAAATATTTTTTGAATATATAATTGAGAACTTAGTACTTGTGCCAATTTATCAGAGACATTGTATAAAAAAGGATTAAAAACAACAGTCTTCTTTAGTAACAGGAAATAAATATTTTCTCTCCTTTTTCCTCTATTCAATCTTCAGTTGTTTTAATTATGTGTATGGAACAGTATCTATAAACAAGAACATCTTTAAGCTTAGTCAGTTGTTGCTTCTTCCTCAGAAGAACAGGCCAACTATCACTATACACGGTTACGTCCCATACATGACGTGAAAGCAAAAAATAATAATCATATTCACTGTTTATATTCCCAAAATGTAGACCAAAATAATGTGTGAAATGGTGCAGAAGAAAGCAGCAAAAGATTCCTTATTAATAGAAATATATTACTCTTCCAAAAGGAACAAGTGTAATGGGATAGATTCAGAGAAAAAGCAACAATTGGATAACTATAAATAATGCTGTTTACAGGAGACTCTTTCTCGCTCCTTTTCATGTGGTATTCCCAGCGTCTTTGAAAAACTGGTGCCAAGGATTGGTAAAAACGAAGCTAAAACAATAAGCCAAAGTGCTCATCTGCTAATGCAAAGTATTTCTGAATACAATTATTTTGCGTAATCTTTTAATGTAACCACTTTCAAGATTGTTCCCATCCATTTAAATATGTGATGAGACAGTATTTTTTTAAAAGCTAACTTTGCAGCTTGCCTTGGCATGAAGGACACTATATTGATGCTGGGACCAGTCTTCCTGATACACTGGCTGGTACACATTTCTAGGATTGAGATGAAGTAGGGAGTGGTACCTATTGGTGGCATGGTTGATGAAGCTTTATTTCAATGAATTATTCGCTTTACTGTTTGCAGGATGCTTCTTTTAAATTATCTGGGCAAAACAGGAAGAGAAACACCACTAAAAGCAGCTGTAGTTTTTTCAGCAGGATGGAATGCTTTTAAATCTGCAGATTCACTGGAAAGGCCTGTGAATTGGCTTCTCTTCAATTACTATTTAACCACCTGCTTGCAGTCTTCAGTTACTAGGTGAGCCAATTTGCAATCCAGTTTGGAAAAAAACCCATAGTAAACTTAATGTGAAATTTTGTCAGCTTGAAAGAATTGTAAGGATGTCACTGTACATCTATATAAATAAAAATGTAATGTTCGTTTGTGGGATTAACAGAACTCAAAAACCACTGGACGAATTGACACCAAATTTGGACACAAGACACCTAATAACCCAATGTATGTCCTTCACTCAAAAAATTGATTTTGTCATTTGGGAGTTGTAATTACTGGGATTTATAGTTCACCAGCAATCAAAGAGCATTCTGAATCCCACCGACAATAGAATTGGACCAAACTTAGTACACAGTTCTCCCATGACCAACAGAAAATACTGGAAGGGTTTGGTGGGCAGTGTCCTTTGGTTTTGGAGTTGTACTTAACCTACATTCAGAGATCACTGTGGACTCAAACAATGGATCTGGACCAAACTCTACACGAATACCCAATATGCCTAAATGTGAACTAGAGTTTGGCGAAAATAGAATCTTGACATTCGGGAGTTGTAGTTGCTGGGATTTATAGTTCACCTACAATCACAGAGCATTCTGAATTCTGCCAATGATAGAATTGGGCCAAACCTCCCACACAGAACCCTCATGTGGGCCACAGCAACGCGTGGATGGGGACGGCTAATACTTTATAATAGTTTTTCTATCTCAGACATGACATTTTTTCCTTGTGTATTTAAATACTTTGATCCAGTTCTTTATTTTACAGACATCGGGAGATATTTGATAAGCAATTTGATATGAATCTTGTCATGAAGGTATGAAAATTAGCCATTCATTTTTAATGTCCTGTTTTAATTTTGCTGGCACTTACAACATTTCTTAATGGGAATTCTGTATTTCAGGCTAAGACCATTAGAGAATTTGACAGACGGTTCACCTCAGTCATGTTTGGCTATCCTACACTTGAGGATTACTATGCAGATGCTAGTCCATATAAAAGGCTTAAAAGAATTGGCATTCCAGTGTTGTGCTTAAATTCTCTGGATGATGTCTTCTCACCAAATCATGGCAAGTTCATGCATTTTGTTTGTTTTCCTCCTATGAAAGTGCTCTTGGCTGACCTCAGAAATAAGTTCAAATTAAACCCAAAATATAATAGGAAAACAGCCATAGTTGGGTAAAGGCTAATATAATCACCTATAAAGCCTTAAACATCTTGGGTTCTGCCTATCTTTGTAACCACATTCCCCCTATGAACCAATGCAAGTTCTAAGATCTGCCTGGGAGGCTCTCCTCTTGGTCCTACCACTGTCACAAGTGCAGTTGGTTGGGACAAGGGAGAGGGCTTTTTTGGTGATGGCCCCCCGGCTTTGGAACTCCTTCCCCAGGAAGATTAGATAGGTTCCCACACTGTCCTCCTTTTGTAGGGACTTGAAGACGTGGCTCTCCAATCAAGCCTTTGAAAATATTTAGCCCGTAGTTGTCCCACGTAGTAGTCACACATCCTGCACTTTATCTTATGCTCTCTCTCCATAACTGCAGCTGGAACTTATTTTATTCCAATGTTTACAGCCCGGCCATGGTGCCAGTAATTTACCGACACAGTTAGAGGATTGCAGTTTGATTGAGCCTGAATTGATATTTTTATACGTGCATATATTTTATTTTATTATATTTTATATTGTGTTCACTTTTATGTTTGTTTTCAGGCACTTTGTCCTATCTGTAAGCCGCCCTGACTTTCCCTTTGAGGAGATGGTGGCAAGACACAAGAATAAAGTGATTATTATAAGTTTAGCACAGTGATCCCAACCTTTGGGCCTCCAAGTGTTTTGGACTTCAGCTCCCACAGTTCCTAACAGCTGAGATTTCTGGGAAGCCCAAAGGTTGGGAACCGCTGATTTAGCAGATGTTACATTAATAAGGGATATAATAGTAAAATAGCAAAAATAGAACACATTTCATACATCTTGAATTTCATTCTATAAGGGCCTCATCACAGTAGAGACAAAATCCACTTAAAATCTGGTTTCTGCCTCCTGCAGAATTCTGGGATTTGTAGTTTGTAGTTTAGGGAGGAGACTTTAACATATTAATTTATAATATTATAATGTAATGCAATATAATACTAATACCAATACTCTGCTATTATAATTATATATTTATATTACATGTTATATTACTAATAATATTACAGTATAATGGTATAGTACAATATAGTAATATTTAATACTGATATTGCAGTATGCTAATAATATAATATATTGTATGTATATATATACCATGTAAGCCGCTCTGAGCCCCTTTAGGGGGAGAAGGGCGGCATATAAATGATGTAGATATAATTATATGAAATGAATTAATAGCCAGTATTCAACTCTTACTGTCTTTATCGTGCCATTATGGCAAGAGATTCAAAATCTGACCTGAATGACATTTATTTCTGTTATTACCAAATTAAGAGTAACCTGTACCCATCATATGTGAACTTATTTTAAACTATACATTAAATTATAGTCACCTCGCCACATTTCCAGTTTTGACTTTTGCAGATGTGATTATTCTTGGATTTCATTAAAATGTTATCTCTAGCAAATCTCTAGGTCCTCCACTCTGGGAGCTTAAAGAGTAGGCAAAGAGTATGCATCCCATATGTGTCCCTAACCCCAGCAAATGTGGAGGGTTGACTGTACTAATTTAGTCTGTTAGCCTTAAGATTCAGACTAATGCTTTCTTTCTTTTCCTTCCCATTTTAGCCATACCAGTAGACATTGCAAAGCAAAACCCAAATGTAGCTTTGATTCTTACTTCTTGTGGAGGCCATATTGGTTTTCTGGAAGGAATGTGGCCACGAAAGTGTACATACATGGACAGAGTCTTCAAGCAATTTATTGAAGCTGTGTTTGAGCATGGAAGCAACATCTTTAATCTATAGCAATTTCCAAAGCCATGATTATTGCACAGTGACATATGACATGTGATCAGGGTAACCAAGCTTAATGCACACAATTTAGCAAATGAGCCAGCAAATGAATAAAAACCCTCCTTAGAAGCAGAAGTATCGTTTTGCTTAGGTATTTTGCAATATGACTACTGTTTGGTTTTTATTTTAATTTGCCTTCTAAGAATGACCTTAAAAAGCACTCTACACACATTAAATTGCACTTAACCAAAATCTTTAAGTAAACAGAAGATAATTACTCAGGTTTCTTTTTCTTTTTTCGGTAATTGACATGTAGGAATCATGCATTAGATTACCTGTTCTCATGCACTTAAAATTCAGAAACAATTATGTTGTAAGTGGGCTTCTCTCCAAGTGTACTCGATGAGGAAAAGGATATAGATAAAATAAGACATTTAAAAAAGACCTAATTCAAAAAGCCATTTTGAACTTTAGCCATGGACTGCAGAAGCATTGAATTTTGCACTTGTTCTATATAGTAGGAATTATATTTTCAATTTCTTCATTTTTCTTGATGCCATATGTCTTAATTTTTTAACATTGCTAATTAACTTACAACAATTATATTTATACCAGATGTTTTATGTTGAAATGAAGAATGGAAATAAACTACATTTTCAAATAAACATCTTGCATTTCATATTTTACACTGATGTGCACTGACTTTACTTGACTTAGGCAATAGCTCATTGTTTGAGTATGACAGCCTTCCAAGTTCCTGGAAGATGTCTGTGCATATGCTTTTTTTAAAAAAAATGTGTGGAAGTCGGTGCACAGCTGATCAGTCTTCACAGAGTGAGGGTCCCAACCAGTGGCATGGTTAACATGGTGACAGTGGCCTTTTACAAAACACTAAGATGTTGGGTAAATGTAATCATTAATGTGGCTTTTCATCCAGTAGCTATATGCACAGAGTACCCTATCACTTTTGACATGATGGATGGGGAGCTAATCTAGTCCTGTAACAACTGGTGCATTCGGGGCATTGGACAATAAGTTATGCAACTAGGGAATCCTATGTTGGTTTATATGAATACCACACTAAAATGTGTAGCACTTTGGCCACCTGCCTTTGCCACCTTTCTGTCCTACACTAACAATGTGTTTAAAACACAAAACACACACAGAGTGCAATGACATCTCCTACTTCTAGTTGTTAAGACAAATATTAAAGTAGCAGAATGACTCATTAAAGTGTAAACCTCTTGTAGCATTCCTTCATCACATATACCTTGTGTTATATTGCCAGAAAATCTGTTAGCACTGAAAACATTCGACATGCATGTCAGTAAATTTCATCAACTTTATCCTGCCACCAAAGTGTTGGGGATAATCTTTTTTATTTTCAAAATTTTGAAAACACAGTGTAGTTATGACTAAGACAAAGGGCCCCTTGGTTGCGCAGCGGGTTGAACCATGAGCTGCGGAACTTGCTGACCAAAAGGTTGGCAGTTCGAATCCGGGGAGCAGGATGAGCTCCTGCTGTTAGGCCCAGCTTCTGCCAACCTAGCAATTTGAAAACATGCAAATGTGAGTAGATCGATAGGTACTGTTTCTGCAGGAAGGTAACAGCACTCCATGCAGTCATGCTGACCACATGACCTTGGAGGCGTCTAAGGATAATGCCGGCTCTTTGGCTTAGAAATGGGGATGAGCATCAACCCCCCCCCCCCAAGAGTCGGACATGAGTAGACTTAATGTCAATGGCAAACCTTTACCTTAACATCAACACTTTCAGCCTTCCTATCCATGTTTATAACATTTAAGCCATCAGTCACCCTGTAAACAGCAAAATCAGAATTCAGAGTCTGTTATGCCACAGCTTTAAATAAGACAATGGTGAAAAGTAGTATGGTGATAAATGGGATCCTGATTTCCCAACAAATGTCCTTTGATATTTTCCCTCTGTTCATCCAAGCATAGGAGATTCATTTTTCAGAATTTAATTAACCATCTACTAAAATTGATAGATCTTCCAATGACTTCAATGCCCTCTGTATGTCAACTTGAGCATTACAGAAGTTAACCACTTACATGGTAAATGTCTATTGCAACAAAGAGGTTTAGCTCAGAAACAAACCAGAACTCTCAGAAAGGAGACTTGCTATTTACATGATTTATCAAAACTTGCAAATGCAAAGAGGATGTGTGTAGCAACATTAAGAACCACACAATGACAGTTTTCTTCTCCCTGGAATTGTTTCTGAACTATCTTCAGACTCATCATAAATGCACTGGTTTCTTTGTTCATAACAAAAATGAAGCAAGGCTGAACCATGGACCCCCTACTCTGCTAAGTAAAGACATCCAGGTATGGAGATAAATTACAAAATGCCACCATCTTTGCTAATTGGATATTTGTCACCAAGACTGTTTTCAGTGTGACTTTCCAGCCCTCCACCTTTACCAATGCTGCTAAAAAGCTTCAAGCTAAACAAAGAAAAGAGGGGCAGAGCAAGTGCAAAGGTTTTGGGGAAAGGAGCTTTACGGAGAACTTTGCTAACTGTGGTACGTCTATGAGTAAGCTTGCTCCAACAGCTTGCTTCTATAAAACTATGGCATAGGGACCACTTTTGACCTCTCACCAGGCGGCCAGTGTAAAGGACTTCATCCAGAGGTACAAGGACTTTGCACAAGAGTAGAAGGAAGCAAACTCTTTCCTGTTCCTCTGCCTCATGGCCATTATCAAGAGCTCTCATATCTGTTTGCTTTATATTGTTTCAATCCTAAAGTATTATGGTCCTGACAATTATTACATTAATCTGATTCTTCTCTTGTGTAAAAACCCCCACTAAGTTTGGCAAAGGTGAAAGCAGCGCACATATTGGTTTTTAAAAACTATAGCAGGGTTTAGGATAGATGTAAAGATTCACCAAACTGACTTATAAATAACTCTGCTAAGAGCACTGACATAATAAAACTGCAGCTGCTGGAAGTTTCCACTCATTCAGGACACACTGTCTCCCTGAAAAGTGCTTTGAAAGCAAATCTTCAAAAGGGAGCCTGACAATTTACTTCCCTGTTGATACGATTATTAAATATTAAAAGACAAAATAAAATAGCTTGAAAAAGCATTGATGAAGAATATGTTGACATATAGTTGCACCTCTATTCAGAATTCTAAAACCAAAATACAATTATAACAGATTTTAATTCGAAGAAGCCGATTTAGAGTAGTAGGGCTTAGTTATGAAGACCCTCCCCAAACAAATGGGCAAATGCTGTCCCCATCTTTTAAAGGGGAGGAAAAGGATGCCATCCTGTCAGCCTGACATCAATACTAGGAAAGACTCAAGCAGATCATTAGACAGTCTGGAAGCACTTAGAAAGGAATGCCATGATCACTAAATGTCAACATGGGTTTCTCAAAAGCAAGTCATGCCAGATAAACCCTATCTCTATTTTATTAATAGCATTACAAGTGTGCTAGATAAAGGGAATGCTATGGATGTAGAATATTTTTTCTTTCAGTAAGGTGTCCTGTGATATTCTGGCAAACAATCTAACAAAATGTGTGCAAGAGCAATGCTACAGTAGTTGGGTAAAAATGTTAACTGCTTGACAAATTGAACGCAAGGGTGCTTCCCAATGGTTCCTCCCCATTCTGGAGGGAAGTGACCAATACAATGCCACAGGGGTCTGTCCTGGGCACAATGCTAATCATCTTTATCAATAACTTGGATTATGTTTTGGCAAAATGAAGCCATAACGTTTTGGAAAATGTGAATCTCCATAACCATTTAGGAAATGGGATTCATAACCTTTTTGGAAAACCACTGCTCAAGAAAAAGTATGACCTTGTTAGAAGTCACAACCTTTTGAAAAGTGATGTTCACCAGCATTCATGCAAGGCAACTGTTAAACTGATGTACCTAGGGATGTCTTTGAACTGCTAGGGACAAAGACATGCCAATGTACAAAAACACATATATTCAGCAGAGTTTCAGAAGTGTTCCTTTTTGTTGCCCAAAAAACATCTATGAGGGTGGAATGAAAAGTAATGCCTCCACTTTCGTAAGTCCTCAACAGATGACAGTACGAGTATGATGGCAATACGAGCATGCGGCAGGTTTGTTCAGTAGACTCTCCTCTACAGTTCCATTTTGGTGGGAAGCCTTAGCATTGAACGGTTGTGTTCAATGCTAAGTGCGAAGTATGGAACCCTGTGCCGATGGTCGGTCAATGCAACTTAAGCAACGTGCAGTCATTCCCTTCCACAAAGCTGAATAAAATCCCACATTTTCTGCTTTGAACTGGAATATATGGCAGTGTGGACTTAGAGCCCTTCCACACAGCCCTATATCCCAGAATATCTAGGCGGAAAATTCCACAATATCTGCTTTGAATGGAGTTATCTGAGTCCACATTCAGATAATGTGGGATTTCCTGCTTTGATATTCTGAGGTATAGGGCTGTGTTGAAGGTCCCTTAGATAACCCAGCTCAGAGCAAATATTGGGATTTTCTGTCTTGATAGTCTGGGTTATATGGCTGTGTGGAAGGGCCCTGAAACACATTTAGCTTTAGGAATGCTACATTTAGCTAGATGAATGCTTCATCTTTTAATGCTACATAAAAATAAGCCAAATCATTCTCCAAATCTTTCTGTCTAGCATTGCTCAAAGAACAATGATATGCTATGTATTTGACCTATAATTCTTTCTCTAAGGACTGGAAGGATTAAAATATTCCCATTTTAATTGCTTGTATGAGCCAGAAAATGAATGTATGTTATTTTTAATTGACCTCTTTTATAAAAATCTTTCCGTAAGAGGTAACTCTGAAAAGAGAGGAGGTGTCAGTTTCTTGTTTCACTGAGACAAAACCATCTCTTTTTTATTTAACTCTTTTGATTCCATCAAAGGTCCTTCCTTTTGTTGTTAATTTGTTCAGTCGTTTCCAACTCTTTGTGACCTCATGGACGAGTCCACGCCAGAGCTCCCTGTCAGCCGTCACCACCCCAGCTCCTTCAAGGTCAATCCAGTCACTTCAAGGATCCCATCCATCCATCTTGCCCTCTTCCTTTTTCCTTCCATTTTCCCCAGCATCATTGTCTTCTCTAAGCTTTCCTTTCTTCTCATGATGTGGCCAAAGTGCTTCATCTTTGCCTCTACTATCCTTCCCTCCAATGAGCAGTCAGGCTTTATTTCCTGAAGTATGGACTGGTTGGATCTTCTTGCGGTCCAAGGCACTCTCAGAACTTTCCTCCAGCACCCCAATTCAAAAGCGTCTATCTTCTTTCGCTCAGCCTTCCCTAAGGTCCAGCTCTCACATCCGTAGGTGACTATGGGGAATACAATTGCTTTAATTATGCATTGCTCTCCTCCCAAGAAGTAAGTGTCTCCTGATTTTCTGGCTGCAGTCTGCGTCTGCAGTCATCTTTGCACCTAGAAATACAAAGTCTGTCACTACCGACATGTTTTCTCCCTCTATTTCCCAGTTGTCAAGCATTCTTGTTGCCATAATCTTGGTTTTTATGTTTAGCTGCAACCCAGCTTTTGCGCTTTCTTCTTTCACCTTCTTCTTTCACCTTCACCTTCATCCTGGGATATAGGGCCTGCCTGGAAGGGCCCTATATTGCAGAATTAGGGCCCTTCCACACAGCCCTATATCCCAGAATATCAAGG